TCAGCAAGGTAGACTTCCCCCACTTGCCCACTTGCCTCACCACTTGACCACTTGCCTCTGCTTAAACGTGGGCAACTCACGAAAGGCCACTACTGCGACCTTCCGGAAGGCCGTAGACTTGGCCTTTCGTGACTGTAGCAGCCACGACTCTGACCCTTCTGGACTGTAGCAGCTACAACCTTGACCTTTCGAGAACACTACCGCTACAATGTCTAGACCTGACTAAGACTCCTATCCGACAGGTCTACAGATCGAACCCATGCTACCTATGGACCCCACGACAACCTATCAGCTATTACAAATACACAGGTCGCAGGTTCAACTCTACGGGTCGACACAGGTACTGTACACAGGTAAGGTTGGGGTCTAGGGATTGAACCCTGGGATCTGCAGCAGCTACTGCTAACTGGTGAATACCGTTTCACGATGAAGGCATCAAGCAAGCACACAACCCCTTTCCTGCAAGGGAAAGTTACCCACAGGTCATTGACGAACGTGGTCAGCGCTCCGGCCGACCATCATCTCTCTCTCTCTCTCTCTCTCCCTCTCTCTCTCTCTGTGTTTGTGTGTGTGTGTGTATGTGTGGGTGTGTGTGTCACCAATGATCCCGGAGTGATGATGTGGCACCGACACAGCGAGGAAGGATCCTACAGGCTGACTACAGATTGCCAGCAGCGACCCTCCGTGCTTTACTTTCCTTGCTTCTCTTTGCGTCCTCCTGTTCGGTCCCACGATTCACGTAGCCCTCGATCCCCTCTTCGCCATGGAGCAACCATCAGCAATGCCCGGAAACAAGCCGAAACAATTGTGTCACATCTTACACCTCCTCCAGTTCCCCACCTGCCCTTCATTCTCTGTTCACTGGCTATGGGAGGACATCTTCAACAGGACCGATCTGTCCATACTTGACCGCCCATCGTCCCCCAGGAACAACAAATCACCCAAAAAGAAAGTTTCATGTATTGCTAGACTGCTTGGTTGATCGACTGAATGAACAATGGCACATTCCACCATCGCAATAAACAACAAAGCACCAAAAGAAAAGAGAAAACAATAAAGGAAGCTCCATGGACTGACTGATTGATTTTTTAATTGATTGATTGATCAATGGAGAGATCGGCTACAGAGAGGCAAGTGGGAAAGGGCTGAAGTGGATCGCCAAAGAACAAAGATGAAAGGGAGTGGAGAAAGAGAGAAAGTGACATTGAAACGAAAGGAAAAGCAGCTGAAGAAAGAGATCAAGGCGAAGGAGACCCCGAGCAGCTGAAGCAGGACGACGACGAGCCGGAGGTGGCAGAGAAAAAGTGAGGAGGTGGTGGAGGGTGGTGGAGGAGGAAGAGGAGAGAGGACGAGGACTGGAGAAGATGAAATTGGCGAGGTCAGCGCACCCGTGGCAAAGCGCACCCTCTCTCAAGCTGTGTTGTACATGAAGAGAGGAGAGTTCCATTCACACTCGGTGCAAAAATGAATTAGGGGGGTTGGAATGTTGTGGCAAAGTGCTCTCTCTCTCTCTCTCTCTCTCATGCACACGCACCAGTGGCCGCATTTGGGACGGCCTTTGCAAGCCGCAGTGGACCTCACATCCCGTGGCAGAGTTGGGAAGAGGGGGGGGGGCAGGGGGGCTGGCAGAAGACTCTTTCTCCATGTTTTGCTCTATACGTCTCCCTCTCACTCTCTCTCTCTCTCTCTCTTAGCTGCGCCAGACACATGACGGGCAGCACTCGGACAAAGGCCGGCTAGGGGGGATGCCAGGAGGAAACGGTGGGGAGATGCAGCACCAGAGGTGCGGTGGCAGAGATAGTTGAGCTCGAGACTGGGCAGTCGAGGTTGAATACTGGGGAGCGGTGGAAGACTCTCTCTCTCTCTCTCTCTCTCTCTCTCTCTCTCTCTCTCTCTCTCTCTCATGCTCGTCCAGACACTTTTGCCTGCGCCGGGCAGGGGACCAGTTGAGGGCAGGTGGAGATGGTGAAGACAGGGTGGTGAGTTAGGGCAGCAAAGATGTCAGAGTTGGGATGGGAGAGGATGAGGCGGAGTGGTGGAGTATTGCTCTCTTTCTCTGTGTCTGTCTATCTCTGTCTCTCTGTCCCTCTGTCTGTGTGTCTGTCCCTCTCTCCCCAACTGCATAGGATAGCTTAGTTTGCATGCAGCTGCGGAGTGGGGTCGAGGGAGGGTGATGGCAGTAGAAGACTTCAGGAGGGTGAAGGCAGGGCCCCCCAGTCCGCAGATTCTACTTCCAACCAGGCCTTTGGGTCAGTGGTACTGGGTCGACGGATGGTCATTTGGCCTGGAAGGACGCGCCAGCCTGGATTCTGAGATTCGTTACATTCATGCAACGATCCAGGTCATGGCCCGGTTGGGCAGCTGACGCCTGGATTTCAGATTTGTTACATTACCGATCTCAATAGTCTGCGGACAGGGCAATTATTATTAGAGTTGAGGAGAAGATTGAAGAGTGTGCGGATAGGGCAATTATTATTAGAGTTGAGGAGAAGATTGAAGATGTGGGAATACCCAAAATCGGTGTGACGTAAGGGGAGGAAATGAACTACCCTGAACTACCCTCTTTCCTGGAACACACTGCCCAGTCATTATTATATCTGTATCTCGCCTGAAAGTTGCCCTAAATACTGCGATGTGGCCTAAAAGCCTTGATCACAGGAGTTATCTCAACAAATGACGCAGGGGTTCTCGACTTTCTCTGGATCATACTTTTAAATTTTCATCTACAAAAAAAAAAAAAAACTAAGCCTGAATCGCTATGTGGCCTAAAAGCCTTGATCACAGGGGTGATCTCAACAAATGACGCAGGGGTTCTCGACTTTCTCTGGATCATACTTTTAAATTTTCATCTACAAAAAAAAAAAAAAACTAAGCCTGAATCGCTATGTGGCCTAAAAGCCTTGATCACAGGAGTTATCTCAACAGATGACGCAGGGGTTCTCGACTAAAGCCTTGATCACAGGAGTTATCAACTGATGACGCAGGGGTTCTCGACTGCCTCTGGATCATACTTTTAAATTTTAATCTATAAGAAAGAAAAAAAAAACTAAGCCTGAATCGCTCACCACCATGGAATATGAGCCACAGCCGTAGTGATATCTTTTTTTCAAAAAGGAACTTCAAAGAGAAAAAGCAACAAATGATTTGAACATTTAACATGCAGCGCTATCTTCCATCTCCTCACTGCATTCGCACAGAGGAAACAAAAAACATCCAGAAACAGACAACAATTCAAACAGATGTTTTTCATGACGTCATTACGTCCGCAAACTTCGCCCCCTAGAAAGTGTAAGGGCTGTAGAGATATCGTTCTTTTCAAAAGGATCTTCAACGAGAAAAAGACAAGACAAATGATTTGAATTTTGAACATTGAAACCACCAGTACTTCCTACAGTCGTGCCCATTAACAAGCCACGGCTTTAGGAAACGTACCGGCCACTACAGGAGCGCCCAAATTCATCCGACTAGAAACGTTTCTACTCTATTTTTGTCCGCGGCCCGTAGCTGGGCCAAGTACCGGTGGTTTACCATGGGCAGCGCTATTCTCCATCTCCTCACCGCATTAGCACACACAAAAGAAAAAAACATCCAGAAACAAACAACACTTCAAACAGATGCTTTTGATGACGTCATTAGGTCCGCAAACTTGGGCCCCCAGAAAGTGAAGGAAAGGGTCCCCAGAAAATGAAGAATAGAAAAGAACCTGTTTGGAAACTTGCCACCCACTTCTCCACATTGCTGGCACAGAGTTTGTCCAAGCATGTCAAAGCATGTGCTCAGTATATCACTTACCTGAGCCTTGATGGAGAGCAAAAAAAATGAACAGAATTTATTACAGCCGACGATCAAATCCCTCTTTGCACAAAACCTGCATCATTGCCCACCATCAATCCCTCTTTCTAATCTTTTCATATTCTGTACCTCATCAATCGCAAATTGGTTATGACAGGGTCCGTTTTGTGTCGAAAACGGACGGATGAATGCACAACAGGAACAATCTCAACCCTTGTTGAGCAACTAGAGGGGGTGAATCCGTATGACCTTGCGTCCAAAAGGACATAATCATGACCACATACAATGGATACCTATTTTGATAGTGCCCATTTCAAATTGAGGTGGCTGCTCGGAGTCAGCTATTCGTCTAATGTATTGCTCGACCTGACACAGACTACCAGTGGACCCATTCATCTGACAAACCTGAGGGAAATACGGTCTTGTAACATTCACCTTCCCCTCCCCATCACCCCTCCCCATCGCCCCTCCCCACTCTCCTCCCTCCCTAACCTTTTCTCCCCGTCGGAATCCTCATCCCGACCAGCAAACAAAACCATAATCATCCACCCTATCCACCTACAGTGACAAGGCACGACGCATCAGTCAACGTCCAGCCGCACCTACACCCGTAGTCGGCCAGTGCACGCTGACCAGCCCACTCTTGTACTGGAAGGCATATGGCTGGGCTCTACAACTCAGGCTTCCAGATATAAATGATCACCTGGGAAGATGGCCCAACATTTGCCCAGTCCACCATCTGCTCTATATACAAATATTCCTCCTGAAATTAATAGACTACAGCACATTCTCATCAGCCACCCGCCCACAAGCAACAACGAAACAAACACCGATTCACTTCGTAACCACTTTTTCCCACCCTCCC